AAGATGCTCTTGGGAACCTGATTGCCAATGAGAAGAGGCGAACAAATAAAACAATGGGCTGTTCACTTTAATGGATTCATGAATCAACCGTCACTTGCGAATCATCCAGAAACGCCTCCACCACCAACAGCACGCAGAGGACCACCTGCTAGTAAAGATCAATCATCCAACGAAGGCGGAGATCTTGAATGGGATCAAGATGCTGAACACCGGCCGGGAAGGCGGGACAACCAGACGGAATTCCACACGAAGCACTGAAAATGTACCCAGAAACTGCGGCAGATGTTCTCATGCCATTATTACAAAAGATTTGGAAGGAAGGAAAGGTACCTACCGACCGGAAGACAGGCAACTTTGTCAAGATGTCAGAGAAGGGCTACCTAGGTCTCTGCAAGAACTGACTTGGAATAATGTGATTGTCCACGCCAATTAAAATACTAAGTCGCACCATCCTGGAGAGAATAAAGAATGCACTATATACAGAACTCCGAACTCACCGGCACGAGCTGGGTTCAGGAAAGCTAAATAATGTACTGATCAAACTGCAAGTCAGCTACTCATCCCATATACGGTACTTGATATTACGTTATAAATTGAGGATGATTCTACATGAAGAACTCAGATATACTATCTGAACGAGGTGAAGCGGCATCACTTTAAGTGCCAGGGCCTAGCAGATTAAAAGGTGGGAGGGTGGTGACTGCTATTCAGCGGATATGATGGTGGGGACTTAAGAGAACCACCCTTATCTGTGGGAATGCGCTCTATTGCTAAGGCTGCTGAGTGTGAATCACTTCAAAAAATAACAATAATAAAATAAAAGCTGTCTGTACGACAAAGCTTGTGTATAAACTCTTTGAAAACAAGCTCATGGTACGATTTCTCTACTCCAGGAGGACATCTAACTGTATAAATCAGAACAACAGCATAAATAAGTATCATCATTCTTTTTGTTTTTCTTTCCTTCTACATATTTTATGTAATTTGGCGTTTGGATTTAACTTCTCCAATTTCTATTCCCATTACCATGTATAGGTGTAAAAATCATTATTCGTTTTGCCCTTATGTTTATTTTTTAAAAATTTTTTATTCTATATTTTTTGTTGTTGTTTACTACCACAAACTTGAACCAACTGTTAGTATGTAACACTATAAAACTCAATGATTCTTAATTCCTAGTAACAAAAAGGGGGAATAAACACTGCGTTTATCGCATATTACTTGCTTAAATTATTATTTGATATGATTATGAGCAATAATTTGTGCTCGAAACGTCATCAGTTAATATTACTGTGTAACACTGTGTGATTTATGAAAATAAAATGTATCCATAATGGAGTTACACTCTACCACAGTGCCCAAGTTTTATACTTATATCTATAATTACTTACCTTGAGCTTGTAGCACATTTGTTTCAAGTTCTGGCAACAGACAACCAAATCATGATGATCTCAGTCCGAGCTGAATTGTCCCCATGTAATGAAAGCCGAAATACAGCCGATCCCGTACATTCGACACCAAGGGATATAGTTCAGCCACCATCTGATCGGAACTTTAGTCATCACTGAAGCATTCCCTTATCTCACCTCTGAACTACGGCTCTTTATATTAAAAAACGCTTCCTGGTAGATACTAGACAGAAGCTAGTGAAACCCAGCTCATAACATGAGGGCGTATGCTGTCAATACCTATGCAACCACGTGACGCCAGACATCCTCCATAACAACATGCGGTTGAAGATTTAAAGAGCTCAGTATCGGGCGTTTCAATCTTTTCTAGTGGGTTGTCATCGTCTGACATTATTGGTATCACTGCCAATGGCTGGTAGATGTTAGCCAACACAGACTGATAGAATCTATCACGTGGCTCTCCATCCCAGTTAATATCCTACAGACGCCTTCTCTCAGTCCAGCGTGTTTCTCGCTCATTATTTCAGATTCCTATGCCCGAAATTTGGCTTTTCCTGGGATTTTCAGATTCAGTAGTGGTACACCTTGTGTAACTTCTAGTGTCACATCACTGAAGCTGGTCTGTCTGTATTATTCAGACCAGCGCAGTTGTCTTCAGAGAAGCTTCCGTCCGTCAGGGCAGAGTTCCAAACTTTGCTCGAGATAAGGATAATCAGGAGACCCAACAGCCTGTGCTCTTCACTTCTGTGCGTAGTGTTTGAAAACAATGAAATAGACTTGGTGCCGTGTGGTGACCATTTGGTTTCATGAATACACAACTTGAATGTATTCTTGAGAAGCACGTCTGTACTCACTAAGCTTGATCAGACACGGAAGTTTCTCCAGGTCCCAGTCCATTCCAGCTATATCCCAAGGATTACAGTCATTACCAATTTCAGTCTTTCTGAGTTCCTTTGCATAGCATTCGGTATACACAGTGCCTTGCGAAAATTACAGAGTTCTATACGCGATGACTTGTGTGTATGAAGTTTTCCTTACGTATATACAGACGACATCTGATATGTAGTCCAGATTTAAAACTCACCGTAACCACTAACGACAGATTTTCACTAAACTGTTGCAGCGTTCGATAACCGTCAATCTAGCCAGGTGCTAGATATTTTTCCTTTCACTAACTCTTGTGGGGCAAGTAATCCATAGCCATTGCAATTATTCTTTACCTGAAAGGGTGCAGGTCATCTAAAACCTTCCAGTGACAACATACCTGAAATCTTTAAGCACACTTTTAGAGATGGTAAGTTGCTACCGTCAAGATGGCCATTGCACACACCACCACACTAGTGCACTTAGAAACCAAGCTTTCCGTCAGCATTTCAAGATTTCTGTCGAAGATACGGTATACAACAGTAGTGGACACAACTCTATCACCCCAGCCAAATGGTTATGCAGAAAGGTTTTCGAATACTTTTAAGAGGGTTATAGTAAAAGCAGGGGGAAGAGCTACATCAAAAACTACACGATAGTTCTGTTTCATATCCCGCATGACACCAAGAGAAGAACAAAAGAATAGTCCAGTAAAGCTTTCAATGGGACGGATGTTGTGCACTCATCACCATAAAATGTTGCCGTCACCACCAAATCATTGGAATAGTGCTACGGGCTATTTTCAGAAGAGTGACTGGGTCTATGCTCAAGAGTATCGCCCGGGAGGAGCAAAATGGACAGGTAAGATCAGGAGCACACGTGGAACGGCGATTCATGAAATATAGGTGGAGAATGAAACTCAGATGAGACACGAAAATCAGTCAGGACTGTGATGCGTGACGTCCTAAAAACCTGAGATACCCCTAATTCAAACATTTAGACTACCCCCAGTTGACACGCATGTAAACAAAAACCAGTCGGAGAACAAGAAGCCGTTCTAAACCAGAAGGCAATCCAATCGAAATAGATCCCAGACAGTACGATTCCAAGTTGACTCAAAGAAGAAGAAGAAGTACTGATTTTGTCACACACGTTCATCCTTTTTTTCGTTGACTGGGGAGGTATTACATAGCTAATTTGCCTAAAGCAATACATTTGTCTTCACGGTACAGTGTTGTATGTATTTCTGCACAATAATGACCTTGGAACCCCGTTGGCCGCTTTAACTTATCTATGTAATCAGTACCCTGCAAGGCCATCTAAAGCATATATATATATATATATATATATATATATATATATACGCAGTTACTGCCAACACTTTTCGCTATTTGGTTCGAGACAATAAAAGCTCTTTACGTCAACACATGTTATATTGCGTTTTGGTGTTACTAATAGTGATTAGAGAAGAAGGCTCACAAATCTACATGTAGGAAGTTCATTAGCGCAAACAACCAGGTGTACTAACGGTCATATCACGTACTTACCTGAAGAGTGTATGACTTCAGTCAGCAGCGAGGATGCCACGCTTTGTTACATATGAGCAGGAACCCGGAGATCTGGGATTTTTCCGTTTTTACACTAAACAGTGTTTGAATCTGTCCACAACTTGTTGCAGGTGGTACAGACAAACTGATATCAACCGGGTTGGTTGAGCCTGGAATACAATGTGATGAGCGAAATTGAACTGGTTCTTGTATACAATGCCAGTGCTTGGAAGTGCACAAGCACAATGTCGGTCCAGTTTAGTCATTCGCTACACCTGATGCATGTTAACCAGGATATTATTGAACCAAAACCTCCTTCCAATGGACATTCGCACCTAATTACATGCGTAGATTGCATTACACGTCGGTTGAAAGCCACACATCCCCATGTTAAGATAACTTGAAGAGTTTGGATGGCACTCAACGGTGACAACCGAGCTCACAAAGAGTATGAAAAGAACTCTCCGATGAATGCTTAGGTTACATCCCCAATAGACGTATCAGCAGACAGTATAAACAGTTTCCAATAAGGCGAGACAAGTCACAGTTGAAAATAGAAACAATTGTCCATGAAGTTTCATTTCATTGATGACGTAACCTGTGGAGTTCTATACCAAAGACTGTCTAGCGCCATAAACAGATTTGCCAATAAACCGGCCATCATTGACCCCGCGAAAGATAAGCTGCCTAAGTGTGCCACTAGTATGTGCATTACAGATTTAGCTGCTCCTATAGAGACTGCTATATGGGAACAATAATTAGATTTTGACAACTTAGATGTTTACATTATCACACTATCTTCACTACTTTTTTCGTCACCTGTCTCAACTACTTTTAATTTCATCGATATTATTATCACTCCTACATTTTAATCGAAAATTCACTGTAATTGGTTGAAATTTCATATGATCAAAGTTACGTATATTCGAGCAAAGTGTATTTTATTATAAACAATATTCTTACCTTATTCATTTTTAATTTAATTAACTACGTAAAAATTATTATATGATATCCAAACAAACAAATCCAGTTATTCATGACTGGATTCATGATATTCTTCCCTGAAAACATCTATCCAAACATCTTAATCTTAGGATAATAATAATAATAATAAAAAAGTCTCTCTTTGAACGGTTTTAAAGGAAAAAAACTTTCACAGTTGTCAAAAATTGTATATTTGGTGTACTAAATAATAATAAAAACCATAATTGATGAAATGAATAAAACTAACACTGGTAAGTGAAATATGCTACAGTGCTTCATCACAAACATTAAACAATGAACTGCTGACTTGATCAAATAATAACACTGACAGTTACAATGGGATTCATCTCTTCCTAATCAAGTGAAGGTAGATATATACGATGAGGCAAAAACTGAAAGGAATTTAGACCAAACTTAAAGATTTCACAACTAAGAAGAACTTATGTAAGACAGGAGACAGAAATTAAAAGCTTCGAAATACATCATAATTATTTATTTGATCCCTATGTACAAAAAAAAGGAAATATCAATGATAACACACAGTGCATTTTGATAAAACCATTGGTATGTGTATATTCTACGTTCTAAACAATGTTTCTATGATGTTTCATTCAAAACACTTAAGAAGAGATCAAGTTATGAATACTACTACACAGTTTATGAAAATATGAACAGGTGATGAAAGTGTAAGTATCAAGCCTGATTGCCTTTAGTATAAGCCAATTGTTTTGCTAATAGTTCTTCAAACGTTGAATTTGACTTACGAGCTGCAAAAAGAGCAGTTACACCGGTAATCAAACCAGGCACAGCACCAACCACTCCTGCAATAAACATTTGTCTTAATCCACGGTTAAAACAATACAGGGATGATGTAATTCCTTAGGAAAAGAAATGAAATTATCATATTAAGAGATCACTAAAAGAAATACATTATACATTATCAATATTGTACACTATGTCTTAGATTTATTTAGAATTGAAAGTGTAGATTAGAAGCATAGCGCCGATCAGGGTTTACAAACAAAAAAATTACACATTACTATTATTACGATTATTGTAACGACTCGTTGTGGTATGAACGCAGGGAACCCACTTTTTTTATCCTAACGTGTAGCTAACCGATACTTGCTTCAGAGACGCACACTCACAAGACGCTTCGAAGAAAGCAAAAAACAGTTGTTTGTCATTCGATCTATAGTTATGTTTAACAATACTAAAATCTAAAGCTCAAAATTACTTCAACAATGCCGTTAGGCAGCTATACAGGCAAGAGAAATTTCTAGCACAAAACAAGTACTGTAGAACAAAATTAGTTAATCAAAATTCAACCGTAGGAAGTATCTTAGAATCAAGTAGAATGTTCACAACAAGGTGGGATCAGAAGCTCTGTCCACAACAGTCAGAATTACCCTTATTCACTGAAACAAAATCACATCGTAAAACAACACATTATCAATGTGTCACACGGTCACAAAGAGAAGAATTAAAATTAGAGAGTAAACAGGAACAAAGGCAAATAATAAGGATTAAGTCAATAAGTGATGTGCAAATGCCAAAATAATGATATACAGTCTAGGAGAAAAACGGATAATAATTACAAAGTTAGTTGGAATTTCTAAATAAATATCAATATTGTAAATAGGCCGTTCAGGAGGGATTTCCCAAACAGTTATCCCGTTACAATTGTTATTAAAACATTGCAATAAACAATGAGTTTCTTTCAGGTTGCATGTGGGAGAGAAGATAAAACTGTCATGGATAATTTTTTTAAACTTGTGTTACTCAAATGCCTTCCGTATTCAACACAGGCACATTATTTTGTATTCTCAAACTACATCGAAACCAAAATATTTGAATCTGAATTCTCTATTCAACAACAGTTAAAACAAGTTTTAGAACAATTTAAACTGTACCACTGTAAGAAGAATGATCGTTTCTCTATTATCGTTAAGATGATGGCCTGCTTAAAATTCCTGAGCTATTTGAATTTCCAACTATCAAAATACTTGAACTCTTCTGCATTTCTCGGTGTTTTAATCATGCAATTATATCAAATAACCACTACATGAACTTGCACTCCTACTGAATTAACCTCCAACTAGGCGTTGTGCAATTCTTGAGGGAAATGAAGGGAAAACTTACAGAGTTATTTCTCTCTTCATATGCAATAATACTAGGTCTCATGATATACTTCAGATTATTACTTTATATGTAAATCCTAAATAAAGAGGAAATATTTTGGAACTAAGTACGCTGAAAATTTCTGTACTATTGAAATGCAGCTTTATTATCATTACCTTGACCGACTTTGAAACTAACGAGCATCCAAACAACACATTGAGTGCACAAAATTACCTGGTTGCGTAATAATAAAATACGATTATTTTATGTGTAGCTGAATACGGGTAGATAACTATGGAGATCAAACAGCAGGTTTACTTCACTCAACTCAGTGATAAAGATTTGTTAAAGACCTTAATGTCGCGTAAACTGAAGGGTAGAATAAGAACTAGTACTAATCAGCCAATTTTGGAAAATCTTAATGACCACGTACCAATTTCGAAGTATTAGGAAATGACAAACATTTAGCAATGCTTAATGACTAATGATATTACCTCAATATCGGGGGTTAAGTTAAATTGTGGGGTTCAGACAAATAACCTAACAAATGAAAAAAAAACCCTGCTAAAACCAATGAACTGGAACACCCCTAAAGACAAGCGGCAGTATTATTCTTCTAACAGAAAGTGTAGACATCTTAATAAATTACCATTTACTTTGCTATAAACAAATATAATAAAGATCACGAATGCAAACTACACAATTGAATGCTAGCGACAGTTTGATAGCAGAAGTTCATGCTCCGCATCAATCAAACGTATTAAATCAATGTAACATTGTAGCTCAATGTATTAGGTGCTTCAGCAGTGAACCAATAGATTACGGGTGACCCGGGTTCAAATCTCAGAAGGACCATAAGTTCCTTCACGATTTCATATACGCCTTGCTGACGAGTGCTAAAAAGCACAAAACTTAGGTCCAAGGCATCCTGCCGATTAACCCCCAACCATTTAACAACCCCCATATTACAAAGACTTGGACGACCAGGTATTATCTCTGACACGATGAGTGTGGTTTATCTACCTGTTGCGTCAGCATGTAGCATTTCATGCATTGTAATAGGATTATCAACAGCAGTCCACTTTGAAGTACGATAAAAAGCCAGAATTTCCAGTAGATCAAATCCAAAATTTGCAAATTGATCGGGATAACTTGGTTTCCTAAGGAAACTACTGTGAAATTTTAACGCTCAAAATGTGTAAACTGAAAATTGTTGACCAATTTGCAAATCGTGAATTTGATTCATGGCATGACCAATTGGACCAAGTAGCTAATCAGAAATCAGGCGGTTTCAACTAATTCGGTTCTCTGAGTTGAGTCAAACCAGCTACACCACTGATGAGATTGGCCGCAAACGAGTTAAACGGCAGTCCGATCCGGTTAGCAAGCATTGCTGGTTGATATGAGTGGTATGCAACTACTTATTTCAATCAATCAGTAGTATATCGTTTTATGCATAATTTCTAGTGTTGACGCGACAACCTAAACTCCAAGTTTTACAAGTTTTCATACAGCCTATTGGAATTCGGAAAAAATCTGTCTTCTTATGACATCTACTTACCCCAACCGGCAGCGTATTCCCAGTAGCTTGTTTTTCCTTGAATTGCAGAAAAGATTAATGGTAGTGTGCTATACAAAAAGTGAATAAGAAAGAATTGTAAACAATAGTGTATCACAGCAAAGGTGTACTAATAATTATTGTTTTACACATTCAAGACCATCAATCAATAATGATTATATTTTGTAGCGTTCATCAAACACTTTCGTTCTACTTGAATTTGATCCATTCAATAGGCATGAGTTCTAGTAAATGTTAGTATTACCAAGGAAACAGGAATTCATAATGCATCTTTTTAAAATGCGATAAAAACTAAGAATGCAGGAAGTTTCGACATATCCCCTGTGACTGATACTTTTAACTTTATTAAATCAGTGAATCTAAACTGCTACAACACGAACTTCCTAGAGAGATACGTCTATACTAAAAGTGGTCAAATCTTGATTATAACGTATAGAGAATAGCATTAGAAACATTGAAAAACAATGGGAAACTTGTAAACGAATCCAATAACAACTTGTAAGTGACTTGGGATTAAGGCAAAGTAGTCCGATTTTTACAATCAAGAAATGATGGTAAAGGCAAGGAAAGCGTCTGTACGAATTTCTTCTGAACATATAAGTCCAGCTTCTTCTTCAGGTGCATTCCGACAGCTTAAGACATATGTAAAAGACGAACTTGTAAGGTAAAGTTAAGATTAGTCGGAATACAATAGGTAACTTTAAATGTCTTATTAGCATTAACTTTATGTTCAATATCTACGAGGTGAGCTAAAACAGAACTACGAAAAGACCTTGTTTACTCCTTGCAGGATGACGTTCAGTATTCTGATGATGAACATGCCTAATTATATGCCCAATGTAACTATAACTCCACAGGAGCAGTCAAACTGATAGATAGACATAGGAAAAGGCGAAATGAGATATTTTATCCTTATTTCGCAAAACGTAAAATTGAAGTGGTTATGAAGAAACACTTTACCTATTTTTTTTCTGAATGCTCTGTTCATTGCATTCTTTAGGTGTTGCGTTATTATTATTTCACTAATGTTATCGCCACGAAACTAGAGTTTTAAGAACATGGGTTTCTTCGAAGCTGTTGATGTACTAGACTGTCTTAACGGTTAATTCATACTTTTGTCAATAAACTTTCCTGAATATTCATTTTTATCCGGTAATTCTCGAATAATCTTGAGTCCCTCTCATTGAGACAGTTATCAGAGCAGATTACTCTAGCACTGTGAAGCAAACAATTTACTAAATCGCGTTTAAATTTCAAAGGTACAAAACTTGAAGAAGTTGAACTTATATGTTCAGAAAAAATTCACACAGTTGTTTTCTTTACGTTGGACATCATTACTTGATTGAAAAAATCTAAAAATTTCCCCTTCCGTCTAAGCCATCTACAAGCTATCATCGTTTTAATTATCTTTAATTGTCACATACGTATTCTTTTTAATTTTATCTAACATTCAGTCTAGTATTATATTTATATATATTATCACGTATACATGCTATTGAACTGTAATCCACTGAGCTTAACAACTCGGTATTACTTAGAAAAAAATCGATATTATCAATAACAATTAATCTTTAAACGTTATTTACATGTAACTGTAGAACGTAATGTGGAAGTTGTTGAAGGGAATATTCTTTGTTCAATCTTTATGTCTTACACACTGAAATCTCAAATAGTACCGATGAAGTGTGCTTAAAAAACTACGCAACGCATTGCATACCTGATCTAGTTCTACTATTTTTAGTTGTTGCAACTGTTAGGAGACAAGGATAAAGTAGTTTCTCAGAAGGTAGCATTTATACGAGGACAAATATATATATATATATATATTATGCATAATTATGTTTATAACTCTTAATGAAGACTTATCAACGTTATAAAAAAGACGAGTCCGGATAATGTAAAAGCCTAACTCAGCTATATGATACATTAAAACCAAGTACACTTTCGTCGTACACTTAAACGAAGAAAAATAAAATGAATATACAAGTTTAATCACAGGCTGACATCAGTTACAGAACCTTTGAAAAATCATGGAGTACTAGACAGCAATTTCGTCCTGGTTCAGGACTCTTCGTCAGCATGCACTCAGCAGGGTTCGAGCCAAGGACCTTCCGGTAACAAGGCGAGATCATAAACCATTCATTCAATCACTGGGACCCGATCCAGTGGCCCATGAATTCCAACTTCTGGCTCTATACGCGAAGTTACCTAGAATTCTACTGAGAAGTCGTGACCGGCGAGGCCCACAAGTCGGGTAAGAAGACAGTTACTAGCCGATGACAATGACTGGCAGTTGCGTCATATATCATGAATCGATAGAACTTGATGTCCATAGACCATTGGATAGGGTCCCAGTGATTGAAGGATTTACAAACTCATCTGGTAACCGGAAGATACTGCGTTCGAACCCCGGTGGGTAAGCACTGATGAAGGGTCCCCAAAGTAGGATGAAACAGTTATTCCTTGGTTTTCCAGTGGTTCTGTAACTGCTGTCAGCTCATGATCGCATCTTTAGCCGATTAAATCCCTACAAACTCGCACTTAAAAAGAATTTATTTAAACTTAAGTGAGGTAGTATTCTTAAGTGGATTGAACAATGCAGATGTCAATGAGTTGAATTCATTTGGAACATTAATTCTACACAGCAATCCTGCTATAAAGTTTGAATCTTAAAAACTTTCACAGTATTTTATAAAATGTATTGATTAAGATTAATCTTGAAGAAAGTCTATTTGAATAAACACTAATAAAGACAATAATGTATGGTTAGTTAAGTTAGACATTCAATCTGACAGATATAATAGAAAATGATCACCATAGGTATATATTATTTTACACATCAGTAGTTCACTGATAGAATGCTCATTAATAACACGCGAAGCCCGGGTTAGATTCATGACCAACTCACACCTAAACCTCACTTAGTTTGCTAACTGGTAGTAAGCTCAAAAAAAGAAGGAAGGTTGGATGTGTGATGTGAACTTATCCCAACTGCTACTGAGAATTCAAAAGATTTGAACCCTATGTTTCACTTGGAACAAAAAGGATGAGAATTATAATGAAAAGATTGAAGTACACTCAAACTCTTTACACTTACTAACATCCACCTGTAAATAAAGTCACTTTGCAACCAGTGGATACGCCAAATAGGATAGCTCTCAGAACGCTATAATCAACAGCAGAACGCTAGAATGGAGTAAAATCAAAATTATAAAGACTCAGATTAGTTTTAGAAAACTACTAAGTAAAGTCATCGGTTAATAATAATGTTGCCACCTGTGCGTTAATTAATAAAACTAAATCGATAATAGAATTTGTTTATTTCGTGGGGGGCAGTGAAAACAGGTGTATTGTATGCGGCCGTAATGAGTAAATCAGTATGTTATCGAAACAATTAAGAAAATAAATGCCAGAGGTGAGAAAAATATAATAAATGCTGAGAATAGAATTAAAGCCCTGTGGTAGGTAGAATAAAACTTCCATATTCGATAAGTTTGCTTGATATAATTATCAAGTGTTGGTTAGCGGGGATTTGAATGGTTACAGGTTTGAAATCAGTTAGAGAACCATTGGAAAACCAACAGGAAGTATTGGACAGCTGTTTCGTCCTAGTTTAGGCCTCTTGAGGAGTACGTACCCACCCAGGTCCGAACTCAGGACCTTCCTGCTACGAGACGAGCTAGTAGGTCATTCAGCTACTGGGACTCGATCCAGTGGTCCATAGATTCCAACACACATGCACACACACACTGATACAGTGTTAATGACTTTTCTGGTACAATTTATTGCTCATAATTATACCAATGTATTCAAATAACTTTCGAACGTGTTTTATAGATATTTTTTAAAACTCTTCTTGTTTTTCTAAATGTAATTTTCTATATGTCCGAGATAAGTGTTGCGTCATTTTTATCACATGTATTTAATGCACATTGACTTGATGAACAAAGACTCGATAATTAACCTCTTTGTCTAAGTATATTAGCCTTCCATACTTTTACTCTATCCCACCTATTGTTTGATTACATGTAAATGAATTCATTGGAATAGTCAAGCTTTGCTCTGGAAAACTTAATTCAGCGGGGCAAATCATTCTACGTCTAGCTAAATTCCTATGTTCCGACAGACTAACTGACCCCGATCTACTAGTGTGATCTATGTAATTCACCTCGCAGACATTACATAGTATTTGGTAAGCTGTATTATTTTTCCTATTAGGGTCTATTGAATATCTTTAAACTGACAAATTTGTCTCTGAATAAGTTAATTGGTTTAAATATCATCAGCTTTATTAAGAATCCTACAGACGGTCTGTGATACGTCATTTCTTATATGAAAGTACTATTTTTTTTATTCCTTTATGTTTCCAGTGGAACATAGGGCTTCAAGATACAGGCTTGAAGTTTCACTAGCAGTTGTGTTTATTTTCACGGGATGGGTTTACTAGCCTCATGGTCAACCTTCTCTCTTTACCAGCCTTATTACTGGTTTAGCGAAGTTTGGGAGTGCGTCGGCTGGGGATCGAACTCCGGGTCACGTGCGTGGTTGGCGAGCATTCTACCGGTGTGCCACCGACGCACAAATGAAAGTCCTATAGAGGCTTTATATTCTTCACTATTTATTTATATTACCTTTATTCCTAAGTACTCCTATACATTGATCTGGTCAGATTGTTAGTCAATGAGAGAAACAAAAATGTACTGAAAAAAACGTTGATTTATATATTGATTTTATTTTGTGTATCTACTCGAAAATAGGGTATACAACAATTTATAAAGAATACACCTTTTAAAATTCAGTCAATTTGAGAACTACAATTCACAGTAGAATAAAGTTCTATCTCTCTTTTTTTACTACCATTTATGCAGACGCATGAAATAGTCGGTGGATAAATGATATCATAAGAGTTTACAAGAGACACACAGTAATGATATCACTGATAATAATATATGGACACTAGTCACTGAACACATGATAGAAACAGGCACTAATCAAATAGAACTCTTAACTTATCATATCATGTAATTAAATATTTAATCGATTTTATATCCTAGTTAGTACTCAGGAATCGATGAATAATACATTAAGAAACACATTGTTTCAAAGTTGGTATTCGACTGTATAACTAAGCCGCAAGATACCCATTCAAAAGTTTCTACCAATTAACTAAACACGATAAAGAAGTGATAGGAAGCGGCGAAGACCAGCTAAAACAGCCTTAGACCGGTCTAAACCAATCTGAACAAATTAAACCATTAGATCGAGGCAGAGTATGTATTATACGGTGTGATTGAACGACCTAGAAGCCTGATGTTATGCCAAATATATAACTGATCAACTGTTGGCTTAACTTTCCGAGGTATCAAATTATTACTATTATTATTATTGTATCCTTTAATTCCCAGAGGAACATAGGGCTTCAGCCGTGCGTCTCCATTGAGTTCGGTTCTCTGCGTGAGTCTTCACCTGGCTCCATGTCTGCCCACACGTTTTCATCTCCTCTTCACATGACCTCCTCTAAGTCACCCTTGCACTGACGACCAACTCGCCGCTTCCCTTTCGGGTTCCACTCAAGGTCTTGTCTAGTGATGTCACTTGATGGTTTCCTCAGAGTATGGTCAATCCATCTCCATTTCTTCCTGCATATTTGTCTCACAATCGGTTCCTGGTTGATTCGCTCCCAGAGATCCCTGTTGCTGATATTTTCTGGCCATCTGATCTTGAGTATTAAGCGAAGAGAACTGTTAATGAAGGTCTGTAGTTTGTTTGAGATGGTCTTTATGACGCGCAATGCAAGTCTCTGATCCGTATAGTAGCACTGATTTCACATTGGAGTTGAAAATCCGGATCTTATTTTTGATACTGAGTGTTGTTGACCTCCACACAGACTTGAGAGTAGTGAAAGCTTGTGTATAATGTATTTTTATATGGCAAAGTAGAATTGTTGTCACCGGCACCGACCAGTTCGTCATCGACTTTTATTTACATGGGCTAAGGGAGGAGGAGGGGAGTAATTGATTACTGATCAATTTCTGGTCTTTGGCCGAGTTTATTGTTGCTTTCCAGTATTTGAACACACAAATCAGCAGTATGAATCACTACTGACAGACACATCAAGAAGCAAATAATACAGCCTCAAAAATATTCAGACAAATAATCTGTCAAATAGTAATTAAAAATATACAACAAAAAAAAGAACAACGCTTAAAGAATTCATATACTAACTCTGGCAATATGTTGTGAGCGAAATATTGTAAGGCTATTAGTCCGTATAAACTCATCATAAGATACAACTAAACGCATAGCACCCGTGATAAATCCAAATGAAATACCAATATATGTAGGAAGTTTTCGTCTTATTCTACCCATTCGATTTAATTCTTGATCGTACAAATAAGGACTAAAAGTGAGAAGAAAAACAACAACAAAATACAACAACACAGAAATGTGTAAGGTCCATATCATATCAGTATCTTTTCTTATTTTATTCGACAGCAATTTACCTCTAGAGGTTTAGCACAAAATTATGAAGAAATGAAATAGGTTTACTAATTGTCCATCTTAACATTAGTGAGGTAATAACACAATGCCTAAGGAATACAGCGGTAAAAAGAGCATTCAGTGCTGCTAAATTATGCTGTGTCTTTAAAACCATCCCTATTTTGCGTTCGGGAGTAAAAGATAAACTGTCTAATTTCGCCTCTTCCATGTGTATCTACCAATCTGACTGCTCCTGTGGAGCCAGTTAGTTGCAAAGGTCAAACAATTAGGCGTGTTTTTCGTCGGATTTCCGAACACCATTCTACATCATGGTTAAGTAAGGGACAAACAAAGTCCATTCACAGCGCTATTCTATCTCATCTTGTGGATACAGAACACAAGATTGATGTTAACAAGGTGGCTTTCAAAGTCATTTACCACATACCAACAAATCTTAACTTCACATTAAGAGTTCATCCACTACGTATCGTTGAGCCTAGCTGTTGGGATCCACATTAAGAAACCTAACTTATGTATCCAAAAGAACCTGGTTCAGACACTGTTGTTACCTTGGCCGTCAATCAAGGTTCTAATGATCCTCAATTCGTTGTGGAAATTTCCTTAATTTTATTTGATATTCTATTTGCTATTACATTTTTATGCATCTTTCGTGAACTGTAATTCCATTGATCTTACTTATAAAATCGATAGTATTTAAAAACACCAATATTGTTAATGATGATTATTCTAGAATATTCTGTATATGTAATTGTAGAACCAGAAGAGAAAACTATCGAAAAGGATATGTTTAGCTCAATAATTTTCTAAAAGAAAGAAATAAGATCGGTCAAAACAAAAAAGTTGAACATTTGATGGTACAGACTTTAGATAGCTTGCATTATCATCTGATCTCTTATCATAATACAATAGGTTCACGATATTCTTTTTACAGCGTGAAACACTGAAATCGGATTGCATCGAAATCTTAACATGCATTAAAAAAAAGTCATTTCTATAGACAAAACACATAATAGAATAGTGTGAATGTCAACGGATATAGAAGTTAATGGTATTTTGATTTGTGATCATGGATTTTAAGACTTAAAGAATGAAGGCTAGACTGCCTAGTACATTAACCACCCTGCCTATTTCTACCTATAGGCTAAGCTATATTACCGTTAACAAAATTGTACATGATTTACAATAGTCATGACAAATGAATTCGATATACTTCACATGCCACATTGGTTGGCAGTGGGAAAAATCCTATCAGATTAGAGAGGGAACTAATAAATCATACTACTTCTGTCTATTATGAGGTGTTCTATTAGTTGTGTAGGCAAGATCAGTTGGATTTGGTTTGTCCATTCAGTGTATAACTGGTTGATATGATCACTAGTTAGTTACACCAACTCTTTTCATTCTATAAGGTCCAAATGGAGCATACGATTTCAAGCTATGAAGATTCAGTGGTGATGGCGTTGCTTTTATACGAAGTGCGATTGATAACATTACACCCAATCTTTCTCTTCCGGGTTAACTATCCGACAGTAAACTAAGCAGCGTTTAGGAGTGTGTCGGCAGGCAATCAAACCCGGACTATCTGCATAGCTGGAGAATATTCTATCAATGAACTACCAACACACGAGTAAATATGCGCAAATCCATCCGGCGTGTGCAAAATGAAACGAAAAGCGCATTTTACATTCCTTTACCAGCCAACGTCAACGAGATAACATCACGCCAACCATGAGACTTCGTCAAGTCGTCTAAACTAGGAGTCGGTATGTCATCAGAGACACACTATTTTGCTCTAATAAAATCAATTAATGGCAAGTTCAAGAAATAATGACTTCAACAAATAAAATCATTGAGAATAAAGTTAAAAGTATATTAATCTTGCTTATAACTGAGGAATTGCGTCGGTGGTTTAGCTGCTGAAAGCTCACCATCCATGTATGTGATCCGGGGTTCGATTCCCGGTCGGTGTACACCTTTCTACATCCACTAGCCAGCTTTAACCCCGACAAAGAAGCAAGCTTGACCGTGAGGCTATCAACTCACTCCCTTAAAAACATCACTGCTACTGAAGCTTCAGAGTTGAAGTTTGAAGCCCGATGTTCCTTCAAGAGTTAATCGCTAAAAACCGAGGTGCCTCACTGGTTTAGACATTTAAGATTCTCAAGCTACAGGTTCTGGATACGATCTATCTTAATATCTAATATGACAGTATATAAAAGGCGGAAGGAAGGCGGAACAGAGATATAAAATGATGTTAAGTGAAAAGTACAATGTGACTTACTCTGTTGAAAATACTGCATGTAGACGATCGTACACGGAGGTTGATTCAACACAAGTTAATGATGATGATAATGATGTTGGTAATGCACTTTTGTAATCTTCACTTACATCTGGAACAAGTTCTGGAACAATTTTTCTCTGAATAATTTCATCTCGACTTTGTAGTATATTATTCAATTCTTCAGGACTAACACCCAAAATATCTTCATCAGTATCTGGTATATTCATACCTAGATTTAGTAAACAACAAAATAACAATTTGACCTAAAGTTAATTTATACAGAAAACAAAATTAAATAGACGTAATTTCTGTAAATTTAAAAGAAACGCAATAGAAAATCATAGAGATGAGTATAAACATGCTGAAAGGTAAGAACAAAACAATAAGACAATTGGAATTTTAGAGTAAATGGTAGGCAAGTTATTGTTGTACTGAGAACATTTTCAAGCCATAATAGCAACAAAAAGAAATATCAAATCACTACACTCTCTTTTTTGAACAGACAAAAGCTAATGCTTTCGACATAAACTTCTTCTTTTTTAAAGGCTTTTTGAATTCTATGGTATTTCCAGTTGACAGGAAACACCGACATAATAATACGCACTTAAGATTAAGAACTCATATTGTCCAAATGGTATAATACAACTACCTAGATCCCTGCTTTTAACCTCTAACATATTTAGGTTGACGGGGTAAAGATAAAACAATGAATCCGTTGAATCATGGTAGAATTGTCCAATTGCCTTATAACTGATCAATGCAGTAATAGATATTTTATATAATGCGCCTTACAATCACCATTTTCTAGTTTATTCAATGAATCTGGATTACTTGCCAAATAAGAATGCCTATGACTCCTAATGAATTATTCTGTTATTGATATTTTATTCCTATGCGTTCCCAGTGGAACACAGGGCTTCAAGCTGGGGCTTTTTATGAGGTGGGATTGCTAGTCTCACGCCCAACCTTCCCTGTTTGCCACACTTATTACCAGCTAAGCGCGGTTTGGGAGTGCGTCAGCCGGAGATCGAACCCCGGAGCATCTGAGTGACTGGCAAGCATTCTGCCTCTGCGCCACCAACGCACACAACGGATTATTCTAGAACAAAAGACTGATAAAAATTATTCAGTTTATTACATATTAGGTGGAATTATTTATTTCTGTAGTATTTTTTGTGCCCCTGCGTCATGAGTGACCCTTTAACGTTAATACGCTTAGGGTCTCAAGGCTGCACTAGATTAAGCAGCCCACTGAAATATTTCTGTACATACGGAGTTTATTTTGCACAATTAATCTAAGCGGTTCTCTCACACTTACCTTCCAGTCTTCAGTTCACATAGTTATAAGTACGCACTATTGAAAAGTGGCGATTTAGGGAGAGACAACAACCTAGTATCCCTTCAAATTTAATGTTTATCAAGTTGATTTTCATTATTGATAGAAAGTACTTTTATATGTAAAGGAGGATAGGATTCTATTAGATAGCTTTTTTCTATAGTTTGGTTTGTAAGGATTAGTTATGTTTTACGAGTTGATCACGGACTCATAGATAGCTTTTACCCACCACAATAAAGCAGCATTTTTTGATGAACACTGATTGGTTAATCAGTCTCATCGTACAATGCTTACAGTTTTGTTGTACTAATTAAATCACGATTAAATTACATTTTTGAAAAGAATAGTTAAAAACAGTTAGCTAGTGCAGCAGGTCGGGTGTGAGGACAAATACTCGCCGAAGACATTGGCTAGCGGTTGCGCTATATCGTGAATTAGCAGAAGTTAGAATTCATGGACTGGCCATTGGATCGGGTCCCAGTGGCTTAATGGTATACGAGCTCGCCTTGTAACCAGAAGGTCCTGGATTCGAATCCCGGTGGGTGCGTACTGATGAAGAGTCCCAAACTAGGACGAAACAGTTATCCAGTACTCCCAGGTTTAAAATTGGTTCTCTAACCAATGTCAGCTCATGATGAAATCCTGTAACCAATATCGAATATTTCTCTTATCCAACTGTAAAATAATAATCAGTTACATAGGTGTTAGATAGATTTGACGTATTTTCATGTTTCAGTAGCAGTCTATTTGTACACATTTTGATTAAGAAACAGAACAGATAGGTGTTCATAAAATAAAATTCTTTTTAAAATGAATTCATTTATACATTAGATATAATGGAGAAGATTTGTAGATCAGAACATACTTGAAAATGAAGTAAGACAATGCAAGCTTTGTGACTAAACCATCCAGCTCAGAGAACAACAACTACACCAAAATTTATAGTTTCGTAACGTCTTATTTAAGCTATATTCTAAATAAATTTTACCATCTCAGATGATCAGATACCGGACACAAAGAAAGGAAATATTACTCAACACTTGCTAGTATAATCCATGCAGTTAGGAATGAGGCACATCTTTTGTGCGTAATGAAAGCATTCGGTCGAAGATCGAAGGACTTCACCGATAGTCCACGGCTCCAAACTATCCGCATACAACACAGATATCAACTTCATGGCATTGGACATTTAAGATGTACACAAAACATATTTCTTCGTAATCAAACTAAAATATTTACAAAAGTTAGTTATTTTGAAAATTAATCTGATGCTCGCCACTGACTAGCTACAGGACGAAGTTGACTGGAGTTCCAGTGGGGGTCATCCGGTCGGCAGTGAGGACACACACTCACCATGAAAGATATAGGCTGGTGGTCAAACTAAAATTACTAATTGGTAGAAGTTAGAATTCATGAGCTGACCATTGAGTTGAGTCCCAGTGGCTGAGTGCTCCACGAGCTTGCCTTACAAACCGGAAGGATTTGGATATGAATCCAAGGTGGGTGCGTACTGTTAATGAGTACCAGAATAGAACGAAACAAATGTCTAGTACTCCTTGCTGGTTTTCAGTGTTTCTCTAACTGATATCAATCTGTAGTCAAACTTGAAAAAAAAATTAAAATCATATCAACACGCCACACTACGCGAATCCGGTAAAACTAATTTTACAATAGAAAATCAAGTAACCGGCTATTAAACATTGAATTACACCAACACAAATGTGAAGTCATTCATTTCTTCTATATGGGTCAGAAACTTGCACTACGTGTCACGAAAAAGATTTTCAACAACCTGTTACAGACTTTTGTCAACAGCTGCCTTCACTGGTAGGCTCTATACTGAAGATCAAATGGCCAGCCAGAAAGAATAAGTAACAAGAAACTGTGGGAACAAACCAACAGGCGAGAGCCGATCGCTCAATAAATATGTAGGAGAAAATGGAGATGGATTGGGCATACATTGAGGAGGCAGTCGAATGACATCGCGCTCCAGGCTCTCGAATGGAATCCGAATGGGAAGCGAGGTGATGGAGGAGATCGTGTGAGGAAGAGATGAGAGTTTGGTCAGTCGTGCAGCCAGCTTAAGAGGACAGCAGAAAATAGGACAAAGTGGCGATGTGTTGTTGAAACCCTACGTTCCACTCGGAAAGCAAGGGATAATAATGAATTTTTAAAAATACCAAAACCTGCCCATCTCAAAAAAAGTAGTTTAAATTGGCTTTATTTCCTTTACCTTAAGAAGTAGTGCACTACTAGCACACACACACACATACATACTTACCAACGTACAAACCGAAATAACAAGGAGAGCGGCTTAACTATATGGCATTAAAAGTAGTAGCAACAAAATGAATGTCAGTACTTTACAGTCGAAACTATTCCGCCATTATTCTCTGATTTACCATAATAATAATAATAATTTTTAATTACATCATTACAAACATAAAGTATATTTTAAAATCGTTTAAATTAACTTCAAAACAGACAGAAACATTCGAAATACAAACTCCAACTAAATTCTTCACAATTTTCGAAAAACACACAAAAGAAAACTAATTCAGAGCAGAAAAAAAATATTTTTATTTAACAATTTATATCACAAACACACAGTGAAAAAAAAAACTATGGACAAACTGTTTTGTAGGATAAATATTTCAACAAAGCAATTGCATAGAATTAAAAAAAGGCAATTAAAAATTGTGGAAGATATACTTGTGTACAAGTTTCAAGTTTGAATGAAATCAACTGAGGATAGCATTATTAACCACCGGGGGGGGTGGTGAAATACAAGGACTAGCCTTTGATGACACCGATTGGACGTAATTTGAGTACTTTGTTGCTTATTCCAGCAGCTTGACCTAGGCGGGGGGGAGAAAGCAGATAGAATAAAAAAGCCTGAGAACAATTGGAGATGTAAAACACGATAAAAGGTGATTATTAGCAAATAGCAACATAACAACAGATATCTAAAAACATAAATATTGAAAGAGGATAAAGTGTTGTGTATTTCAGTAGGCCAGAAACACTTAGCAAATTGACCCTTTACAGAATACCACTATTCATTCTATACTGTATTTAAAAGGCTTGTCAAATTAATGAAGGTGAATCAACACAATCAGTACTGTCTAGAGGAATATAGTGATAGAATTCGAGGTGATTTTTGCATCGAGAACTAAAAGCATTTCAATAAACAGTTTTCTTCAGGGTGAAGCTTTTCCAATACGTACTATCAACCAACTTCGAATGTGAACGTGAAGTTATGATGACTTCCAATGAATATATTATTATTGATTATGAAAAGAACACAAACTTGGTGCATTATGGGCACCAAAATATGTGCCACACAAGATATAAAACAACAATAATAAATGTAGAAAAATGGGGATAGGATAAATGGGGGAGGTCATCCAGAAAGCAAGTAAGCATATTCGTCAAGACCATTCCTCACTTCACGTTACTTTTTGGAAGGGAAGTAAAAAGAAAATTGCAGCATGTTCGCCAATGATTACGATTCTTTGCTGTATCTAATAACGTTCTAAGTCACTGATTCAAATCATTTCTCCGACGCCATCCAGGAGGTTGAGATGCAGCAACAGATGCTAACCAGGGCATAGACTGACCACCACTCTGCTTTTTCCATCTAGTCTCAGGGTTAGCTAACAGCAACCAGTATGAGAGGCCCTCGAATGAAATTCGTAGTACATGTCGATGACCATATTCAATGAATAGTTATCTCTTTCGTTTCCAAACACATGCTGCCAGACCTCAGGATTATTTACACGATGATGTCATCGAAGACAAGCAGTTCTACGGAGACAACGATGACCGGATACTCAGAGTCGTCGCACATCCTCGGCTAGGAACGGCCAGGTTTTACGGACGTAGAGCGAT